AAGAGGATCAGCCAACTTAGCATATTAGTAAAATCCCCTAGACCTACGACACCAGAGATCGAAACGATTGACGGTGCAGAAGTTATCCAGTTGAATGATAAAGAAAAATGATTCGGTAAGAGATCCTTAGGAGTTAGAACGGCTTAAAGAACCTACTAGGCATGTCCCTCTTATCAAAGGCAAGAAAGAACTACGGATATATCAGAAAGCTTCCGACATACCAGAACGTATTCGTACGATGCAAACGGAATAGAACCTTCGTTCAAAATGCTAAAACCTTCTGTAGAAAACTGCAGGCAAAGAAGAAACTTGCAAGTAATGCGAAGATCACAAAAAGAAGCAACGTACAGGATAAACAAAAAAGGCAAGTAGAATCTCAGAACAAACAGGTGTCAGAATTACTGAAAAGCATGTGCGTGAAGGTGTTCAGAAAGATGAAAAACTGGGCAGTGTCAGACCCATATCAGGGACATGCGTTCCGTCTTAAACGACTAACGTATTTGCACTTACGAATTGTAGTATTCTTTTAGTGCTTGAAGAACTTCCACCTAAATTAACGGAAGGAAGGACAGACCTAATCTTGAATGATGATGAAGGTTATGGCGATGCGACTAGCTACTGGCAACGAGCTGGAAATTCCTGAGTCTATATTAACCAATGCAGTTTACGATCATCATTTTTCCCGAACAAAAAGGCTAACGAAATCAAGGGGGCCTAAGGACAGTTATTCATGGACAAGGCGCCATGTCACGATTGCAAATTGAAAAAAAAACAACATAATCATGGATCATACAGACTTAAGCACGGTATTAAATCTAGTGCTATTTGACCAGATTATGGAATGTCTGAAACTTTACAACTTCAACGATTGCCTAATAAAGCTCTTTGAAGCAGCGAGAAAACAGTGGCGAACGATACTGCTATGTGAAATCGTTTCCTTTGGATCGGTAAAGATTAAGCGCGGAATCTTCGAGACAGATTCTGCCTCACCGGTTCTATTTTGTATGACATTGAATCTGCTCAGCTAAACCCTGAATAACATTGGGTGAAGATATGTTGAAAGACTACAGCTCGATATCACGCCTGTTGTACCTGAAGCATCTGAAGTTGAATGTGAGATTGGTAAAAGAGCTTGATAATCAAATCAAAAGCATACGAATCTTTACAGAGGTAATCAGGATGAAATTCGGTTAGGAAAAATATGCTGTAGTCGAGAATATGAAGTGAAAGATCTGGAAGAATTACGCTGCCGACCGGTACAATAAATAGTTTGGAAGGACGATCCTATAAAAACCTAGGCATGCTACAACTTTACAATATCTTACATAAATTAACGATGAAGGATTAAAAGAATCCGCCAAATCATCAAAAGAAAATTTAGATGTCATTCAGTGCAAGCTTCCTTCACCAGCTCCATGGCTTTCTTCTAGAATGATGAAAAGTCCCGTTTGTCGTCTGTTAAATCACTTACATGCATGCATGCGTCTACAGTGCTTCTTTGATCTTCCGCTTCGTGTAATTCTCTTAATGCGATACCCCTTGCATATCTTCGAATGAACGTGACCCCGCATTATCACGTTGACAATCAGCGTATTGTTACTTTCACATTTTCTATTTGCATCGTGTCATTCGTCCATCTCATTACCATCATCGTGTCCATGTTAAGCTAATCGAGATTTTTTCATGTTGTAGATACAAATGATCGTTTCAATCTTCGGCCCTCTTGCCAAATATGCCTATCTGTTCGTTCCAGAAAGAGAAAATCCAACCTTTTTTGCCAAGTTTATGACTACGGATCCGCGGTGTGACATCAGTCCCAAAGACCAACCTAATATCAGTTTTAAGTTTTCTTCGTAGTTCATGATGCACACCAGACACGTAAAGGACAACAACTGACGAGCTACAGGTCTATCATCGTTCACCTTACATTTTCACCTCGTCGAACACTCATCATCAATCCAATGGCATTGAACTGATTTACGTTTTTTTAATATACATCCGCTTTTCATCTACTGACATTATTTTCACCTAAAGCTACATAAGGTATAACTTAACTGCTGATATGCTGGATTCCGTTTGTGTCCTAACAGCAACTATAATAGCCATAGCGAGCTGATTAAATTTCAATTTCAGCATTACACTACCACGATTTGTAACAAAATTTTTTTTTGAGCTTTCCAAAATTGCACAGCAACTAGAGAAGGGAAATAAATTTTCTAAAACGATCGCCATCACATTCGAAAGAAACAACAAAAAAATTACTGAGGCAGGTGCCTTGAACTGTTACTGACGATGTTCAAACCGAAATCTAGAAATGTCCACGTTGATAAGAAAAATTCTGAAACGTTTTCATCTTTTATTCGTGATCTCGTCAACGATCTGACGTTAAAAAAGACATGAATCACCATCTAAGAACTACAACAAACTAGAAACCAACGCAAATCGACGACAGAACGGTTTTTCGTTGAAATTAATAGCAAGCACATACTTTCGTTTACAGAAAGCTTCCAAAATTAACAAAAACTTTACTAATTAAAATACGCATACGTTAAACTTACGCCGCAAAACAACAAATATTAACTTTGCGTTTAACATACGAGTAAACAAACTGCAGCCAAGCAATAATTCTACCAAACTAGGCAATAAACTGAATAGACAAAAACAAGATTACATGATAAATCGTTTACATAAATGATCAAAAAGCATTTCAATCTATCGGTTTATATATATATCTTTTCAATGCGTCGCAGCATCCTGGATTGACGGCAGTATGCGAATTACTTGACGTGGACGGCCTGTAGTTCGACGTCCCCTTCTATTCGCAACCCTTTCAAACTATCTGGTTTAGTGCGATGAGCATAAGCACACCAATGATTTCCATTGAAATATATCTAAAACAAATATTTATTAACTGTTCTAAATTAAATAAATCAACAGAAAATCACTTTATAAAATGTACCAGCCATCTGATGAACTGCCTTATTAACAAATAGAGTTCTTAAATTATTACGCAAACAAATATAAATTCATCTTTAACGAGTCATCAGTGCCGGTTAAACGTTCCAAAGTAAAAGTAAAAATTTCTACAACCTACATACAACTTTATTAAGAAATTCTTTGCTACAGTTCTTGCACATCCGATGCAAAAGAACATTCCCATATGACGTTAACTCAATCAGTTGTTGAAAGAATCCAAATAAATAATCAAAATGATTTCAGAGACCGATGTTTCAATACTGACAATGTGACAATATTGCCGCTGTCTATAATCAAGACAATGAACAGAAGCAGAAACCAGCAGTATACACAGACTACAAGTGTGTTGCCGACTGCTGGTTGTAACCATGTTATACTAGCGATGATACATAACGCCACTACCTGTCTGCTTCCACCCTTGTGGCCCTAAGGATAAGCACCGCTATCCGAATTCTTTCTTGAAACAGACTCTTTCTGCAAATTTTAGTGCTGTCAAACTTTAATTCAAATAAGCTCATAATTAAAACAATTACTAGATAGATTTCACAGCTGCAACCCTTTATCGTTTAAACAGTTCTGATACCAATACCACTAGTGCAGAAACTGCGTGCAGATCGCGCATGCATAATCAATTTTCATGAATTGTTTGTACGTAAAAGTTTCAGTACCGAAACTTACACAGGTTCACAGAATCAGAGCTATTTATAACATTTGTCAATAAATTATTGGCTGTAGTGTCACAAATGGAGAAGATACGTTGCAGCGCAATATCAGAACCTGAAGCCTGCATCTAAACTGACCTACGATACTAAATCCTTAAAACGCTATTTCTTTGCCTCGTTCTGCAATGCAATAACTAGATTTGATTTTACTTTCTAAGTTGTGGCTACTTCATGGCAAAGTAAGCCAATTTCCGCGAACCGCTTAGTCGACCGGCAACGATCAATTATTAGCGCTGAATGCTAGTCAGGGTTACTGTTCAAAAAGTACATTTTAACATAGTGCTGTGGGCGACTAATTACCCAGCAAAGAATGGAATGCAGTGTTGTCGTTTCAGACGTGAAGAAGTATAGCTGAAGTGGCAAGAGTCACCTGATACACTAGCGAAAATGCACAACGATAAGATTACTCAAATTTTGCTACCTTCAGCTCTATTAAATTACGACTTGCGCTAAAACAAAAGCCCACTACATCAAGCAATACGGTAATATGGCATAGCCACACGCTGTTCAGTGCCTAAAGGGAAAGCGACGTCAGCTTATTTTGGTACTTGCAGCATGAGTATGCATCCACCTGCCATCAATGTTGAAATAATGATTTGACGTAGTAGCATCGACGATAAACACTACGCAAAGTTGGCGCTCACAACATATCAGCAAGAATGAATCCGATAACGGAATTACATCACCCAAGTGCGTCAGCGCCTTTTAAAACAAGTGTCAGAGCCAAATGATCAAAACAAACTCATCACAGCTCAAAGCCATACAGAAGAAATCGTGTTCTAAAATATTCAAGATTTTTTGAGTATGTAATTCAGATGTAAAAGGAAACAGTAGATTAAATATTCTGCTTGCCTGGAATGCGTGTTCTTCGTTGACAATCATGAGATCAAAGATATGATCCTTCTCAATGGTCAGCTTTCCTTCCCTTTCTTCATTCTGCCATGCTCCGTTGAACTGGCTATTTCTGACTACGCACTAAAAATAAACGATATGTAAAGCGTATGAAAAAGAATGGAGCCGAACTTAAGAAATAAAAATTTACCTTTTCATCAAAACGAACGTTGAAATGCAACGCAATATCTCCGGTGGCAGTAAGAATATTAACGGAAAACCGTTTAGCCTTCTTTTCAGGAATTCCGGAAATGAAGAGTCTTTTGCCCGTCGTAAAGCCGTTCGGAACAGAAGCTTCATAGGGGACGGGCTAAAAAAATACCATTAATGTTTATAAGTGAAAACGATACTTTAGCCGAAAATTGACATCAAATAGGCGAGAGTAATGGAGACTAATTCTTTCAAATATGCTAATAATCTAGCCGAATACACCTAAACTTATCACTGTGATGACAACAAAGTATAGAACGTTATTTGAAATAGGACGCAGAATACAGGACACAAAACTAAATTGAATATTTTTTGTATTTAACACAGATGTTCCCGTTGTGCAGTCAATCTGTATGCCCAAAATTCAAGTTGATGTCTTTACTGAAAATGCGAGAAGCCCGTATGTACCTTAGCCATAAACGAAATAGCATAAAAGGAAACCTCTGATCAAAAGGAAGTTGTCGATTGTATGGCACTGATTAGACAAATTTTAACGGTATTCACTTCAACAGCTTCTCAATCTTAAAATCGACGATTTCAACAAAATTGCGAGAAAGTGAAATATGCTTGGATAATAAACAAAACAGCATCAAAGGAGTTTTTGACCTAACAAATAGAAATAAACCTGTTATGTCATACACAGACTTGGGCTAAATCGAATTTGAGCTATTAGAACAGATTCTCCCAAACTTGGGCTAAATAGAATCGCAACTAACATACCTTAACAATAATGGTGAATACATGCTGCGATGAAAGTCTGAAAGCTGAGCAATTGAGAAATTCGCCATGAATGTTGCGTGCGCAAAGATTTCAAAAGTGCTCACCATTACCACTGAAGCACTATCACATCTTAGAAGTCATCACAAACTAGAGGACAAAAACAGCGATTAACGAGAATGTAATAACCTAGTGAACATATCAATCAAAAACAGGAAATGATCATCATCTGCATAAACGTACCCAACCCTCCAAAATGAGCTTAAGCAACGAAGAAGTACCTGTTCAATGACGGAAATATTTTTGTGTGAATAAGATTTGTGAGGTGCAGAATATTCAGTTCTTAATTCATTTTATAATTCTGGTAAAACTGAAAACCAAGGTAGCTTAGTTAATTTTTCACAATATCGATCTATTTTGTCAAATTTTCACATAGCGAAGGAACAGCGTAAAACATGGTTTACTTATACATAACGCAGAAAATACTGCGGCTAGTCCGGTAACCGACCGACCAATACCGACGTTTCAGCCCAAAAGGGAAGGCCTTCTGGCTTCAAAACTATCGACTCCGCGGACGACCAACCACATTCACGAAACTTTACAACAAAGTTTCTTGAAGATGGCCCGTGTGACATGGGTCAAAACGTCAGTACTGGTCACTGACCGGAAACTACAGTATCTGTTGCATGGTGTAAAAGTAAACCGTGCCTGACGACATTTTTCAGCATTACCACCAACGCAAGAACGAAATGCTAAATCTTCACATATGTGGAAAATTAAATTCTACGACTTATACATTCATTATTTCACGAACAACTCCGCAAATTTAGTGACTGAACGTTCGACGAGATATCGAGCTGACTCAAGTACATGTCAACTACCAATGAAAAGCGATTCGAAACGTCAGAATAAAATTAACGCACGTAGGTGATAAGCAAAAATATTTAGCAATGATTTATTCTTCCGCGTAAACAAGTTCCTTCGATTTCCAGTCATTTCGCAGTTTGTCAGAAATAGAAATTAAACCTTTTGACGTAGCCAGAAAGAAAATTTCTTCATCTATAACTATGTACTTAAAAAACACTTTTTAAAAAAAAGTTTAGAATTAATCTATTTCTAACGTACTCAACATTTTGTTAGACAGCACATCTTTTAAAACTTACATAGTACTTTCCTCCCCAGCTGACGTAGTTGAGTTCGATATCGCCAATGATGTTCACGTAGTTGATCGAGGTAAGCGGCAAACGATATTCAAATTCGTCAACTTCTTTCTGATTGCAGAAGATCTTAAACAACGAGGCAATATTAAAAAAGAGTCAACTGTCCATCACCACGCTTAAACAGGTAAAATAACAAACTAAAGAAAGATACAAGAATACTGTTATTATGGGATGGGAGATATGCACGAATCATGTAATTTACATTCGTTAACTTTAGACTTTTGGTTACTGAGGCTTGGCACTAAAGGTAGTCTTTTAAACAACGTTTCCACGAGATGCTATTCGTCTCATACAATCAGCAATCTGGAATTCAACTTTCTACAAATACAGTCAAACGTCATGTGTAAATGTCACTCTCACTCCCTCTTTTTCATTTACCGCATGCGCACCAACCATGAGGTAAAGCATAATTGAAACGTTTATGAATATTAAAATTATATTCCTCCGGTGTGTGCACAATTAGACATTTCGCGGAGGATAGTCGAAAATGTTAAGTCAGTGAAATCGATGATGAAGATCAATGTCTGTCTATCCTTACCTTTTCAAAAATATTCTTCCAAAATCAAGGAAGTAGAAGCCCAGGGGATGAAACCCTCCCTCAACCACATGACTACTGTAAATTAAGCCTTCACGTACTCTGTAATATCTTATTTGGCAAGAATACACAAAGATCCTGAATGCCATGAATAGCTAATTATGAAGGCTTTCTTCAATGAAACACTCGCGACAATAGTAGTGCTGTGCAGTAAAAAACTAACTGTTACATTCACATCGCTTCTTCCCACATGCTAACATATGCATAACCTTGCTTAGTTTTAATAATAAGAGCTTATTCTTCAGCGGCTATGAAAGCTAAGCGATTAGCTACCTTCCTCAGACCATCAACCGAGTTAATGAAATCTGACAAAAATACTTAATGCTGAGGCATGTTTGAAGTCATGTTAATCTATACAAAAAAAATCGTTAAGCTTCAAGCTCAGCGATAACCAAGTCAAGCAGCTTTAGGAAATGCTAGGTTTAAATGTACCTCAAACTTGTTGTCGTGAGCACGAATTCGCAAATCGAACGGTTCGTTTTCCTTCCAAACGAATTTCTTGCGTTCTTCCTTTCCCCACTGACCATTCTGGAGCGTATTCATTATAAGAGACTTGTCTTTTTTGCGAAAACTCATATGGAAAGGAATATCTTCGCCTTCCCTGTTGCTGGTCTGCATACTAATATCGAACCTAAAAGCAAAAAACGAGTGCATTATAAAAAGAATTAAATTTCTCAGGTTACTCACTTTTCTCCATTTTTTACTATTCCTTTGATCAGCAGAGATTGTCCAGGTTGAATGGAATCGCCTTCCAATTTCGAAAGATACGGAACAGGCTAAAATGCCTTATGTCAAGTTTGGCACCTTTATTTTTACCACATTTATACAAAATAAGTCAAGCGCATTTTCACTTGCTTTTCAACGGCATGTCCGTTTAAGATTCAACAAAAAATTCTTCTCCCGCTGCTCTGAAATATGTTCCACTTAAAGTTTCCCTAACGTTACATTTCGATTCGACCCTCCAAAGCATCTAATAATCATTGCAACATGGTTAAAATATCTGTCGCCTAAAATTTGACATCTACAGTTTAACTGACACCACTATATTAAAATGCTAAATGCAAGCAGGCGAATTTTTGTGTATCGAATTGAATCGTGGTGAGCGCTATTAAACTTTTGATCTTACATGACCTAGGACAAAAGGTCATTGGGCAAAACCACTCAGAGGCTAATCGAAAGTGACCTCTGATAAGAACTGGTTAGGATGGTAGAGTGCCTCCGACCGCAACCCGCTATATTTAATAAAATGAACTTTCAGCGTGTCTCAGTGACTCATTCAAAGCCATTCCAACTGCTAAGTTTACCAATAAGTCAAACATTACTCCTTAATGAAAAAACGGAACGACAGAGTAGATGCTAAGAATGCTAAATTTAAACATTTCGTCTTTAGAAGCTTGAAGGTGCG